GGGCGCGGGGCCGGCGGCTCCGGGTACTGAGGCCCTGTACGGCAGCAGGATGGACCCTCCGCACTGCCCGGCGGGCGGGGACGGCTGGTGCTAGTACCAGACACCCCGGGTTACCCGGTCCGCGGTGTCGGGCCCTCACGGACCGACGCCGTTGCCGAATGGGGTCACCCCCAGCACCGCGGGAAGTGAGAAGCTGCAGAGGTGATGAATTTCGGGGAGCCCGTCCCCGCTCTCACACCAAGCACCGCCGCTGCCGGCCCCTTCCTCCGCCCCCACACCGGGGGAACCTAAATTCCCCTTTACAATCTGCTTCAAGCAAAATCCTTTGCCCGCGGATCCCCGTTAACTCGGAACTGCCCCTGTATTGCCACGCAAATGAAACCACGCCAAATCTGTAGCAGACTCGGTTTCGGCGGCCAATGCCGCCCTCTTGTGAGACCATTTATTTTAGTCTCCGTCGCAGCCACAAGAAGGACGACAGGGATTAATAATGACCTGATAACCTTACAAGGTTCAGCCAGGCTGAGACTTCGACCTTCAGCTGGCATTATAAACTACAAAATGAAAGGAGTCTGCAGGTCTAAAAGTTCAGAGACATTGAAAGAAAGCTGAAATCAACCCCAAGTGGAGCCCTTCCAGGCTGTGAGGAACCTGAAAAACTGCTCCTGGAGGAGAGGAATTGCAGTGATGCCGGCCAGTGCAGGACAGTGTGACAGGGACAAGTTCTACCGAGGCTCCTGGCTGAGGGCAGAGGGGTGGGACCACCCAAGGCATGTTCTGTGTGTTGAATTTGGCTTTATCCTGGTTTACATAATGAAGTTATCCTGTGGCAAAACGTTGCCCTAAGAACAAAGCAGCCAGGAAACATACTTCCATGCTTTGAGGTTCTCAAAAATTGTAATTCAAGGAAAACTACAGGATTTACTTAAAACAATGTATTCTAATTATATTGATTTGCTTTCTAGTTGCTAAGCATTAGCTTTCTTTTTTTTTATCAGATGTTTTCCACAGCCACACAGACTTTTGCTTTCCCTCTGTTTGAAATGCACACACAAATGTAAAACCAGGTAAACTGGAAAGAAAGAAACCAACCACAGGCTCCACACTGGTGTTGCAGAGGTGCCTTTTTCCCAGAGGTGACACAGGACCCTCTCTGCAGCCTCCCTAGCTCCCCTTTCCCTGGAGAAGCCGTCATCCCCCACATTTCCTCTCCCAGGAGCCAGAACCAATGAGGCATTTACACAACAGCAATCCAGATAAAATTCAGTGTTGCCAGACACTCCTTCCCCACATAAATGGCTGTAAGGAAAAGCCTCA